TGCTGACGTGTGATTTGCAAGCTGCCTTCAGCCATGAAGAAAGGTGGAATATAAATATTGTAATATTAACAAATGAAGACGTACAGCAGCCAGTGCAAACCCTTCACATTAACAGACCCACAGGACGCCCTACAGTTTTGTGCCCCTGAACACATTTCAGGTCCCCAGCACTAAACCGGAGGCATGAGTACCTTCAGTTAAAAGGATTTCAGCTAGCAAGGCTGAGGAAGACCCCTGACTGAGTCTGGGAGAGCTGCTGCTGCCAGTCAGAGCACAGAGTACCAAGCTAGATGGGCCAGAATCGGGGATATGGGGTGGAACATTTTTTTAAATGAGAATTTTCCGGTCCTTTATTTCTCCCCTTCTAAAAATCTGTGGTTAACGGTTTGAAACAATAACATTCGGATGCCACTGCCGGCATAATATTAGACAAGACAAGCTTGGCATTGTCAAAGCTGTAATTAACGTTTTTTCAGGTGATTAGCCATAGGAATTGAGAGAGTCCATGTCTGTTGCACTGATCTGTAAACCAGGGGTAGAAGATGCACCACAAAAGCGTATATTAGAAATTGTTTTATTTATTTATATTTATTGATTTGATTTATTAATCGCCCTATCCCAGCTTACGCCAGGCTCTGGGCGATAATATACAGAAGGCAAAATGCCAGAAAACAAGATACAAATTTTAAAACATCCATAATACAGTTAATAAGAGATAAAACCAGAATAAAGGATGAATTAAGTTTAGAATTCACCTGAGCGGTTATGCCAGTCAAAGCAAAGCAGAAGTTCTTGTATGTCTCCTCCTGTCAGGTGGTAGAAGGAATTCTGCAATCACCAGTCTGATACGGAACTACCAAGTAAGGCTGATGCTGATGTGTCACCCAGGGCCATTCTAAGCAGAGTTACACCTTTCTTCTAAGTGCCCTGATTCCAACAACCTTGAGCAGTGTTCCCTCTAATCCGAGATAGTGTGAGCCAGCTCACAATTTTTTAGCCTCCGGCTCACACATTTTCGTCTTAGCTCAGGAAGGAGGGCTCCAGAGCAAACTGATTTATGCAGTAGCCAAATGGCTCACTCACAACTTTAATGCCAGTAGCTCACAAGGTAAAATTTTTGCTCACAAGACTCCACAGCTTAGAGGGAACATTGACCTTGAGGGGTACAACTCTGCTTAGATGCTAATGCCCCTGACCGCTGTAGGAGAATTAAATTCTGTTGAAGGGAAGAAGTCACACCACAGGAAAAGGGCCTGCCCCAGTGGTGACCACCCATGTTGAGGTGGGAACAATCAGAGCAGGGCCTCTCCAGAAGACCTTAACGGATCCGCAGGTTCAGATGGGAGCAAGCAGCCCTTCAAGTACCCAGACAGCAAAGCATTTGTGGACTTTGTTATCGGCAGCACACTGTTTCCAGGATCAGTACAAATTAGCAGCATGTCTAGCGGGTGTATGTTCCTGAAAGTTTACACCTGTTATGACAACCCTGTTGTTGCATTTTGAACAATCTGACATTTCCAGACAGCCTTCAAAGGAGACGAAGGAAGGAGATTGTAAGCCACTTTGGGACTCCTTAGGGTAGAGAAAAGCGGGGTATAAAAGCCAACTCTTCTTCTATAACACCTTAACTCAATTAATACAGTTAGGCCACAAAACAAAACGTGTTTTGACTCTGCAGTGACATATTAAAACAACTACAGCTTCAGCCCCAGTCTTAAAGTGTACAAAATAATAACGATGTCCTTCAAAAAAGGCAACCAAACATAGACCTCACACCCTACCGGAAGCATAAAGAAAATATCTTGTGAAGCCATTTTCTGAATTCATCCAGTGTTAAGTGGTTTGCCTGTACACCATGAAAACAATCCACAAAATCCTGCTGCTTTCTATGTAGGACGATCTGAGGGTGCACAAAAGCATGCCTCTTTTCCAAAGGCAGGTAAAATTCCTCACATCTGGACTTAATAGAAATACCTCTGCGTAGCATTTCGGCTGGTATGTTCTAGTTTCATCCTGAAAGACAGGCGGGACTCCACGCAAACGTGCAGAGGAAACAAATTCCAACTGGGTAACGTCAAAATGAACGCTGTTTCTGAACAGAATTGTTGAAGAAGTTAAAATAGCTGAAGCTAAAAGATATACATATCAACTGAAGTTTAGACAGTGCTACAACCACAGTTGTTACGAAGGTTTATGTTACACCCGACAAGGGACTATGACTAAGAAACCTGTTTTATGGGAAAGCGACAGAGAAAGAGTTCTTCAACAAGAGACAGTAAATATCCATTATACACACTAAGAAACTAAGAAGTCCATCAAGAATCGAAGCTTCACACTAAGCTTCTCTGCACCCAGAAAGCCATGTGTGTTCTTCCAGTGCTGCCGTAGAACCACCCCACCCCCAACACTCCAAGGAGCCAGCCTGAAAGCAAGCCAGCAAAAACCCCGCCTCCCTCCCCTTCCTGGCACAGACCCGAAGACGTCTGCAGCCGGTATAATACCTGACATACAAAACTAAGCTTCAGGAATGGAACTGGGCTGCTCAGCATTCTATATAGAGGCATGAATCACCTTCAAATGCCCCAACACATTTTTCAAAAAACCTTCCCTTTCACACAAGCCAAGGAAGTGAAAACAAAGATGGTATGAAACAAAACTATGGTCCAGAAGTGACCAGAGAAGTCAGTTCATCAAAGCCCTGTGTCCTGTAATGGACATGATCAGGGGTAATTTCCTGCAGGACTGCACAGGAGCGGCGCTCTGGCAGTAAAGAGCCCAGGGGGCGGGCACATGCAACAAGCCCCGCCCCCTGCTCCCAGCAGCCCTCATTCGGAGCAAGAAGCAGCCAGGTAAGCTGCAGAGGGCCCCCCCCCGGCCCCCTGGTCCAAAACAGTCCAGTGGCACCTTTAAGACAAGGTTTTATTCAGGTACAAGCTCTCCCTCCTCTGTGAGGACAGATCTGCACTCCCCCCGCCCCCAATAGCTAGCAATCCAGAACAGTCCAGTGGAGCCTGAGCAGTGGGTGTTGCCTTCTGACACACTTCCGGTGATGCCGGGGTGTGTGGCATATGCAAATAAGTTATGCTAATGAGTTATGCTAATGAGCTCCTGCACCTCTTTCTTTACGAAATGACTCCTGGACATGATTACCAAGTTATTTGCATACAAAAATCTAAGCTATGAATGCCTCCCTCATGCACTAGAAATTTTATGATTTTACCTTTCCAAAATGATAAATTTCTTCAGGTTCAAGCAACCCAACTGTGCACATGGCACTGTGCTGGCATTAATAGTTGCCAGCTCTCGGCGTTTACAGATTAAAGCACTGCGTATGCAATACATTATGTATCAAGCATAGCAATGAGAATTCCTTGGAAAACAAGGGAAGAGGCCTGGGGGGCTCAGAAGAGCATCCAATAAAACTTTCCCCATTGCAGCCCTGTTTGCCCACTAGCTGCTAAAGGAGGTCCAAGTACTGAGAATTCCCCCAGCAAGCTGCACAGAAAGTATATCTAGCCCACCTCCGTTTATCCCTCCCAGGGATCCTCCCCCACCCCGTCCCTTTCCATCTGTAGGTAGCATCATGTCCACATCAATGTTAAATGCTATACACAGTTAGAAACAGATCTGAAAGCTATGATTTTGGACCAGCTATAGTTAATGTTAACATCAGTGCAGATATAATGTTAATTATTGCTGTCTCAAGCAGAGAAACCTTCTTTTTTTCAAAAAAGGAAAAGGAAACAAGAAGAGAAATATTCAGCCTATGACACAATTTATGTTTAGCACTAAACTATCAAACCAAAGCTTAAATGTTATTAGGTATCGACTCTGCCCAGAAATGCTTGTTCAGACTTTGAAATATCTCAGTAATAATATTCCCAATGATCTAGAACTAATAGACTAGCCAAGCGTGATGCAAATATAGAAGTACCTGGTTACTACTCAGTCAAGACTCTGACACTAGAAGTGCCCACCTCACGTCTCACTCGATCCTCATCACTAAAAGCCGCCACAATTTAGAAAACAAGTAACTAGACTGTAACAAGAACTGCAATTTATTGTCAGTATAAAATTTCCTAACCTCCCCAAATCAAGAACAACAGATTAATACTACCACGCGACTGTTAGATTAAAACTTGTTCTTGGTTGTGAAGCAACAGCTACGTTTCCCCTGTTGTGAAGAGGAAGATGAGACAGGCATGCATACCATCTTACTGGGAGGGAGCGAGGAGATACAGTACGAGCTCCTAAAATTCCTGAATTGAATTCCTGAACTGCTCAGCTAATATTTTGAAGCGCAAACTGTTCAGTGACCTCAAAGAGATGCAAACCCTACTCATGGCGGGGGGGGGGAGAGAAAAGGCGAAATGCTCCCCTCATCTTTACAATTTTTTATTTCATACTTCGTTAGGCAGTGCTACACCCAGATACATGCAGCTTTAAACAGCATATTATTTAGGCACACATCCACTAAAACATACCCACGCCACCAGCTGAATGACTGCTGTTACTATAGGCTTGCTTCTTTTCCAGTTCTCCCTCTAGGAATCCAGTGCTTTTCCCCTGCCCATCCATGATTTATTCTGACTAAAGAGGTTAATTTAAACTGTAAATAAACTAATCTTAAAAATTCCATGGTATTAAAGATACAGTAATAAATATAGAACACAACAGCACTCAAAATTTGCTATTTAGATTTTGTTAACAACTGTTAAATGACACAATATTAAATTCTTCTTTGGAAGAAACTGAATGTCCACATATTAAAAACAATTCATGCCCCTCCACTGAATAAATCCACAAATCTATTCTGCAGTACCAACACTTTGGTTTCCAAGCAGTAACTCTGTCGGCAGCTAAAAGAAAAGCAGGCATACATTTTCATTACGAATTATATGTTTTGTTTGCATAAACTTCAACAGCGACATAATCCGAGAGATTAAGGTTTTAGCAGATACAACAGGATGACAACAGGCACTTAAAAACCTGCACCTTACCCGATCCACTGAACTGACTGCTTCCCAGCGTCGTCAGTCTGGTTTTCCCACTATTAACAGGTGGAGAAAACATCTGCAAAGCAAGCAGATGTCTATAGATTAGGACCAAGCGCTCCCATTCTGTTAAAGAGTCAAATCTCCGTTCATCGCAAGCCGTTAAGCTCCCACGCCTTTGGATTTGAAAAAGGACACACACGGCGAGAAAGTAGGTAGTTTTCAGAGGGCAGAAGAAGAGCTGCATCTGAGTCCAGGGGCACCTTGGAGGCCAAACTTCCACACTGTAATTTTTGTCACTCGATCGTCCCCACTGCTTCAGGGTCCCCCGTCCCCCCTTAATGTGTTTTGATCTCTCTAGTAGTCCCAGAAGGAGCAAAACACATGTGGAAAAGAAGGGGGGGGCAAAGCAATAGGGACATTTTCAAGCTGGACGTTGTAGGGCTATCTTCCGGCTGTGCTCCTACAGAGTGCGGGGGGTTGGACGAGATGACCTGCAAGGTCCCTTCCAACTCTAACATTCTATGATTCTATGACAAAAGAGTGACAAAAGTGACAGCAAGGAAGCAAACCAGATTTTCACAGCAGGTGTTTCCCAGAGCCAACCCTCCCTTCCAAGGCAGCTCTGACTCCCTTCCAAAGAATTCTCGGGATAAAGGCTCTGGAGAACCAATGCTTGGACTCTCAAAGGCACCCACCCACCCAGCACCCCGTAAAGAATCCCGTGGGTCCCCGAGGTGCCCTTACTTAAGCATCTAGCTGTTCTGCTGCAGAGACCGGCCCGGCAGCCCTGGGAAAGCGGCAAAAACATTCCTTCTGGCTGCGGCCAGTGCCTCATCGGCTGAAAGTCTTGCTGGGCTGGCCTTGAGCCATCCTAAAACTACGGCAGGCCTGGCTGAAACTATTTCCACGAGGCTTTCTGGACCGGAAAGTCCTGCTGCTGGCCAGGCGTGAGTGCAGCCCTGCTGCTCTTCCAGGAGGAGGCCAGAGACCCCTGGATCCCTCCTGCCGGCCTTGGAGCTCCCCCCTCCCTTCAGCATGTCCAGGCGGCTCGACTTCCCCCTCCAGTCCCCTCTTTCCCCGTCCATCTTCCAGCCAGTGTTCCCTCTAAGCTGAGTGAGCCTGAGCTAGCTCACCGTTTTTTAGCCTCCAGCTCATCCATTTTTGTCTTAGCTCAGGGAGGATGGCTCCGGAGCAAACTAATTGATGCGGTTGCCAAATGGCTAGCTCACAACTTTAATGCCAGGACCTGACAAAGTAGGATTTTTGCTCACAAGACTCCACAGCTTAGAGGGAGCATTGCCTAAAACCAGTGTTCCCTCTAAGCTGAATAAGTGTTGGCTATCTCACAGTTTTTTAGCCTCCAGCTCACAGATTCTTGTCTTCGCTCAGGAAGAATGGCTCCAGAGAAAACTGATTTACTGCAGCAGCCAAATCGCCTCCTCACAACTTTTAACGCTGGGAGCTCACAAAGTGGAATTCTTGCTCCCAGGACTCCACAGCTGAGAGGGAGCATCGGCTGACACCAGTATTCCCTCTCAGCTGAGTGAGTGTGAGCTAGCTCACAGTTTTTTAGCCTTCAGCTCACAGATTTTTGTCTCAGCTCAGGAAGGATGGGGCTCCAGAGCAGACTAATGGATGCGGCAGCCCAATCGCTTGCTCACAACTCTAATGCCAGGAGCTCACAAGGTAGAATTTTTGCCCACAAGACTGCACAGCTGAGAGGGAGCATTGGCAGTGTTCCCTCTAAGCTGAGTGAGTGTGATCTAGCTCATAGATTTTTGCCTCAGCTCAGGAAGGAAGACTCCAGAGCAAACTGATTGATGCAGCAGCCGAATGGCTGGCTCACAACTTTAACGCCAGGAGCTCACAAGGCAGAATTCTGGCTCCCAGGACTCCACAGCTGACAGTGTTCCCCCTAACCGGAGTGAGTGTGAGCCAGCTCACAGTTCTTTAGCCTCCGGCTCACACACTTTTTTGTCTGGGCTCAGGAAGGAGGGGGGCTCCGGAGCAAACCGATTTACTGCAGGAGCCAAACCGCTCGCTCGCAACTTTTAACGCCAGCCGCTCTGACAGAGTGGGGTTTTTGCTCCCGGCGCTCCGTGGCTGGGAGGGAGCCCTGCCTGAGAAAGTCCAGCGCTCCCTCCGAGCTGAGCTGAGCTTCGCGTGAGCACGCTCGCCATTCCCCCGGCTCCCGGCTCACACACACCTCTGGGTCGCGGCTCAGGGAGGAGGAGGAGGAAGAAGGGAGCTCCCGAGAGCCCACTAACCCCGAGGCAGGGGCCGAAGAAGTCGCCCGCTCTCACGACCTTCCGCGCCAGGAGCCCACGGAGCGGGACCTTCGCTCCCCGGACCCCGGCAGGCGAGAGGGAGGCGCGGGCGCTCCCGGGACCCGCACGTGGTGGGCGGCGCCGGCTCCGGCTCTCGCTCGCTCCGCGGCTCCCCTCCCCTGGACCACCTTCTCCCTCCCTCCCACCCAGCGCGCGGTCCCCCCCCCCCCCCGGCCCGTCCCGCCGGT